TTAGAGTATATATATATATATATACATATATATATATGTATATATATATATATATACTCTATAATATATATATATAATATAATATATATATAATAATATAGAATAAATGTGGCAAGTAACAGTAGACCACACACACACACTGATGTAGAATTAGAAGCAGAACACCTGAGTTTGTGCCTATGGCGAGACCTCAAGAGGCAGTCCCCAAGTGTTGATACACTCCTGTTTGGCCCCAAAGTATAAAGCTGTCCCAACCCACTCAGACCCTTGTCTTCTGCACAATATTTGGACAGTTAGTTGGTTGACTACTTCACTGGAAAATCACAATTTGAGGCCAGGGATATTGCTCAGTGTCAGAGCTCCTGCCTAGCCCTGGATTTGAACTCCAACACTGAAAATAAGGAAAGAAGGGAAGGATCAAAACAAAAACAGTCTCGGGCTGGGCACAGCCTGATGTCTTTTGCTGTGTTGTCAAGCCGGCTTCAGGGCCACTGTGAGGTCCCCGGGATCGAGCATGTAGGGAACTCTCTCCCAAAGGCCCTCCTCATCCTCCTTTACCATGGCTTCCTTTTCAAGGGCCAGCTTCCTCACTAGACAACGGCTTTCCTGTCCCCTGACTCCTGCAGCACCCGACCCAGCACCCAACCTCAGAGTAGCTGTAGGTGCAGTGTGTGTGGTGTGTTCATTTGCTGAATTCTGACGGCCACACAGGCAGATGAAAGCTAAGACACAGAGTACAGCCCAGAGCCCCGGACCCATCTTACTTCACAACGATGAAGACACAGAGGAGCAACCCAAACACCAGGCTTGCTCCAGCCACCAGGGATGTGGGCAATGATACGGAGGAGGATTCTTGCGCTGAAGCTGTGGGGGGTGGGGTAGAGGAAAGGAAAGGGCGGGGGAAGAAGGGTAGGAAGGAAGGAAGCGGAGAGGGAGAAGAAAGTCAGTCAGCGGGTACTAGAAGCAGACTCTGTTCCTGGAGGCACAAAACTGCCAGCTTGCTGGCCAGAGCCAGCTCTGAAGAACCACCGTGCAGACTCCTAGCATAATGGCTGCACCACTCACAGGTGATATGGTGCTGATTCTCAGCTGGCAGCCAGCTCTCAGAGTAGCTTTCCTAGTGTCCTGTACCAGGCAAAGGGAACATGAGAGACAGAGGATCTGAGAACTCCATGGTGGTCGATCCACTAGGACTGTGTCACTGAGACTCAGGACTTTTAGCAAGTATTTAGGAGCAGTTTCTCCGCTGGGGTGTCATCTCTTGCCTATCCCCAACTTGACATTCAGGCTCCAGATGCACCATGTCCCTACCCTTGCAGGGCTCTCCACCTATCCCTTCCCACCCAAAATGTTCTGTCAACCTTTGCTGAGCCCCTTTGCTGCCCAGTCCCTAGAAACCTTTAGAAGTCAAATGAGAGGCCACACTCTCGGCTGGGCCAGTGCATCTGTGCAAACAAAGTCAGTGGCTCCCTAAACAGGTTTCCTTCCACGGATCCTCCAGTTCAGTCTGCAGCAATGATGCCCATAGTCTACTCAGTCATCCTGATGACAGACTGCAAGTTAGCTTACTGACCCGGCCCACCCTTCCCAGGGGCCTCACTGGAGCTCAGCAGACAATAACAAATGAGCATATGAAGCAATGAAAGACGAGCTGGTGCTGCAGCTCACAGAAGAGGTTTGCCTAGCATGCTCAGCGCCCTGGGTTCAGTCCTAAATACTGCAACGACAAGCTCCATAAAACAACGAAGGCTGTTGTTGCCTTTGATCCTCTGCTAAGTGTCCAAGTGAGAGAGCTCTTCTGTGGGCCAGAGTAATACCAAGACACTAGCGCTTACCCGGAATGCTTGTTGCTTTTACAGAATATCTGGACGGATCCTCCTCATTGCCGTCATCTTCATCTGGGACCTAGGAAAGATGACCCTCATCAATAGCCTGCTCCACATTCCTGCACACTTCTGCAAAGCTACCACTCCTTCCTGCCTCCTGAACCTCTCTGTGCCCAACCATCAGCCATTATCCTGCCTCTGGCATTTTTTGTGCGCTCACTTTCCCTAGCCAGGTGAAGAGTTCTTTCCACCCATGTCTCTACCAAAGGCACAGAGGATATGCTCAGAAAACAAAGCAGCTGCCCATGAGGTCTGTTGCCAGGTGTAGTGGTAGCCTCCTCCCAGCTCCACTTCTCACTAGCTAGCTATGCGATGGGCAGATCTCTGAGTCCAGATAGGCTTAAGATTGGCTCTGGATCCAATTTTGAGATTTACCCACAGAGTGGAGAAGGTGGCCAGTCCTCAGTTAGTGTCCTTAGGACCTTCCTGGAGCTCCCTGCCCTGAGAGGCGAGAACTCAGTTGCCTCTGCCCATGAAGGCACCAAAAAGCCCCACAAGGACAGCCCCCTGAAGACATCCTTTCTAGGACAGCCCTGTGAAGCCTGAATGTGAGGCCCAAACCTCTGCCTCCTTCTCTGTGCTTTGGGTGGCAGAGGAACAAAGCTTCCAGTTCAGTATTGAGGGAATTAAGGACCACTCAGGAGATAGAGTTGGGTGGGAAATTGGATTAGTAAAGGAATTTGTTAAGCAGCTTCAGACATAATCCTCTTTCCAATACTTCATGATACCAGGCTGCCACAGGGGAGGCCGTGGATAAATTGAATCTGGTCTCAGTGGTGTCCAAACAGCTCAGTAAAACAGTAGCCACCAGAGCCAAGCAGATGGAGCTTTACAGCGTCGAGGGACAGGGAACTGGCCCACAGCCACACTCTAGAAGACCCAACTGGTACTGAAACCAGATGGGGGGGGGGAGCAGCGCATGTCCTGGCCCTTTCCAAGGGCAAGCTCACCTGTGTGGGGTTCCCAAGGATCCCTGCGGAAGTGTTCTGGGGCTCTGCAGTAGAAAGAAGGCCTGTGTTAGTGACTCACGGACTCTGGAACCCAGTCACATCAACACAGAGGGACAGAATGAGCTAGTGGTGGCACATCTGAGTCCTAACACTGGCAAGCCTGAGGAAGAAGGAGAGCCTCAAGTTCAAGGCTAGTACAGAGGAGATCCTGTCTCAGAAATAAAAATTTAAAAATCAATATAATCCAAAATGGGTTTTTTGTTTGTTTGGTTGGTTTTGGGTTTTTCGAGACAGGACAGGGTTTCTCTGTGTAGCCTCAGCTGTTAGCTCACAACTCTCTGTAACTCCAGTCCACCTGAAGTTTGTAAGGGGCCATGGGCCCAAAACTATGCAGCTTAAAGCCCACCTTTGTAAGCCTTTTAATGACCTTTAAGTTTGCGGCTTAAAGCCAGCTCTGTGAGCCTCCTGTAACCTGTAATTAGATACGGTTTGGCCAAGTGGAACCTAACTGGCCAAGTGGAACTGCTAACTGCTTCTGTTCCGAGAAAGGGTCTGGAGCTTTTCTGTTCGCTGTTCCAAGGAAGACCACTAGATGTTCCTGCTGACAAGAAGAATGTTCCAGTCCCAGCAAATACCTGATGTTCCTTCTATTATTGCCCCCAATTCTATTGTTGCAGGGCTATTTAAGCCCACTCTAAGCCCCAATAAATCGAGACCTTGATATTGTACAGACGGACTCTTGTCCTTTCTTTCGCTGCTTGGTCTCCTTTCTTTCTCTCGCCCATGACTCTGTCAGGCAGCACCCCTTGGGAACCCTGAATGACTAGACCTGCAGGACGGGTCAGAAGTTCATCCAACTGGCCTCTGTAGGCACTGCATACATGTGGTGAACGGCATAGGCGTAGGCACAACACCCACAGACATAAAACAAAAATGAAAAAAGATGTGATAAATCTTTAAAATAAAAAATAAAACTTCATATATTTTAGAGAAATGTTAGATATAATATGTAGAAAAAAGACATATGCTTTGATTCAAAGTTTCTAAAAATCATGTCTATATTATCATATATTATAAAATATTACAATATATACACAGGAAGGGAAAGGCCCGAAGGATACAAGTTATAAGCACTATTAACAGTAATTCCTTATCCTTTTTGCAATAGTATATACGAAGGATCAGTGACTCATGCCTGGGATGGCAAAGGACACCATGATAAAGAGGGTTGGGGATAGCTGTGGCAGAGACCACTCCCTCCTGGGAACTGCTTTCCACAGAAATCACTGAAGCAAGAGGAGGCCCAGAATCAAAGCTGAACTGGGCCCCGAGGGACCTGGCTCTGACCCTCGACAGGCAAGGGGGTGGGATGACTCAGATTTTCTTGTCATCTCATCATTTTTCCACTGAGAAGTTAAAAATACTACCGAGTATAAGACATTAAGTATCCCAGTCCCAGGAGTAGACAAACAAATCACTAGCTAAGGGGTAGAGGATAGGGTGAGTCTGTTTCTGCTTGGGAGAGGGTTTTCAAAGGGCTGTGCCATCTGCAGAAGGAAAGAAAACCACACAGCAACACTGGAGGTGTTGAAAAAGAGCCCACCCACCGCTTCATTGTATAAAAAAGGAAACGGGCCCAGAGAGGGAAAGCAATTTGTCAAGTTCACACAGCAAGTTAACTCAGAAATGAACCTCAAATTGTGGCAAGGCCTCACATCTTTTCCCAGCTGAGCCTAATATGAACAGTTCAGCCGGGCAATGGTGTCGCATTCCTATAGACCCAGCACTCAGGAGGCAGATCTCTGAGTTCGAGGCCAGCCTGATCTACAAAGTGAGTTCCAGGACAGTCAGGACTACACGGAGAAACCCTGTCTAGAAAAAGACAACAACAAAAAGAACAAAACCAACAGCTAAAACCAGGAGGGCAGCAGTAAACAGAAAAAAATGCCCAACCACTGATGGGCCATTAAACCCAGAGGTTCCCCAGATCCAGTTCAACAGCACAAAGCCTTCCAGGCCCGTCCATCCTAACCGGCCTCAGAACCCTGGCAATAAGCTTCATCAAATCCCACCAGGGACTGCACACGTGTGCATGGATGGACTGGTTTTGTGAGGCAGGGTTGGAACTTACTATGTAGATGACCAGGCTGACCTTTGACCCTGAATTCAATCCTCTAGAGTGCTGGGATTATAGGTATGAACCACCACACTGTTTCCCCTCATGCTTTTTTCTGTTGTTATTTGGTTTTGAAACAAAGTCTCAAATTCTAGCTCAACTGTCCTGGAACTCACTGTGTACCAGGCTGACACCTAACTTAGGCTGAAACTCCCACCTCTGCCTCCCAAGTGCTGGGATTTCGGAGTAGGACACCATGCCAGGCATCTTTGCTATTGTTTTGATCTTTGAGACAGGGTCTCATTCTGAAGCTGAGGCTGGCCTGGAACTCACAGCAATCCTCCTGTTTTAGCCTCTCAAGTGCTTGATTACAGATGTGAGTCAGCACACCTGTCTGGGATCTTCAAAGTGGGCTGGAGAGGTGGCTTAGCGGTTAGAGCCCTGGCTGTTCTTGCAGAGAACCTGGGTTCAGTTCTCAGCAACCACACAGCAGCCCCAAATCAGCCGTAAATCTAGTCCCAGAGAATCCAATGCATTTTTCTGACCTCCACTGGCACCAGGCACCCATGTGTGCACATACACACATGCAGACAAAACACCCACATACATCGAATAAGATTTTAAATAATAAGTAAGCATGGAGTGCACCAACAAGATGGCTGAGTAAAAACCCCAGCATATAAGCCAGAAGACCCAAGTTCCATCCATAGAGCTGAGGGGGAAGCAGAGAATCAACTCCTGGAAGCCGTCTTCTGACCTCTAAATATGTGCCCTGGCAAGCATGCCTACCCTCACATACACACCACATAATGGAAAAAAGACATTTTTATTTTTGAGCCGGGCATTGGTGGCGCATACCTTTAATCCTAGCACTCAGGAGGCAGAGGCAGGCGGGTCTCTATGAGGTTGAGGCCAGCCCGAGCTCCAGATGGAGGGGCAGGATAGGGTCCAAAGCTGAACAGAGAAGCCCTGTCTCGAAAAAAAAAAAAAAAAAAATTTTTTTAATTTAAAGATGGGGAAACTGAGGCAAGGAAAAGGAAAATAACCTTCTCAAAGTTAGTAGAAAGTAGCAGAGCTGTATCTTTTGTATATTTATTCCTCTGTGTGCGTGTGTTCGTGTATGTGTGTTCCTGTGTGTGTGTGTGTGTGTGTGTGTGTGTGTGTGTGTGGTGTTTGTGTGTGTGCCAATGCAAGTGTGTAGAGGCCAGAAAACATTAAGCACCCTGCTCTACCAATGTCTGCTTCCCTGGAGACAGGGTCTCTCACTTGTTTCTCTCCCTGAAAGCATCCCCTCAGCTTCCAAAGTGGCATTTAAACCAAGTCTGTATGCCTCCAAGAATGAACATTTTTGGTTTTTTTTGTTTGTTTGTTTTTTTGGTTTTTCGAGACAGGGTTTCTCTGTGTAGCTTTGGTGCCTATCCTGGCACTCGCTCTGGAGCCCAGGCTGGTCTCAAACTCACAGCGATCTGCCTGCCTCTGCCTCCCGAGTGCTGGGATTAAAGGCGTGCGCCACCAACGCCCGGCTAAGAATGAACATGGTCTGTAGAGCTAGTTCCAGGACAGCCTCAAAAGCCACAGGGAAACCCTGTCTCGAAAAACCAAAACCAAAACCAAAAAAAAAAAAAAAAAAAAAAAAATCCACTTTGGATCTGGAGATCTAACTCAGTTTGACCCTCAGCACTGCATGGCGAGGCACTGGCCCAGGGGACACTCCTGTAATCCTAGCACTGGGGAGCTTGGAGACACAAGGAGTGGGGAAGATGTCTTGGAGTCCTTCCTAGGGGACAGCCAGCTCACAGCCTGGTGCTATAATGCCACTTTCCAAGTCATTGAAGCCTCAAGGCTCTGAAAGGCAGGTGCCAGGTTTAGGTTTTTTTTTTTTTTTTTTTTTTTTTTTTTTTTTTTTTTTTAAGGCAGGTGTCAGTACTCCTAAGTGACAAATAACCAAACTGGGGCTCAATTAGGTACTTTCCCAAAGTCATACTAGCAAGGGACAGAGCCAGCTATGGGACCTGAGACAGACCATCTGACTGCAAATGAGCACTGTGTGCCAGGTGTGGAGATGCAGTAGGAACGGCTGAGGCACCAGGAGAACGGAAGGCTTGAGAAAAGTGCAGAAAGTGGGGAAAAGTGGGGGAGGGTACCCTGAGAACAGAGCAGGGCGGGGCCTCTCCAGGGTCCGCAGCCCAGAGCCCTTTAACCTGAAGAATCCCACTGAGGGCTCTATGGAGAGGAGCCGCAGGTTCCCGGGGCACCCACAGCCCTGACAGTTACTGTGACCTCCTGTTGAAGCCCCCTCCTTCCCTCCAACCTCCCACCCTTTACACCTGAAAAATTAGCGTGTTTAACAGGCATGCAGGAGTCAGAGCTGATGCTGACCTTCAAAGAAAGGTCATGAAGCCATGTGTGGTGGCCCGTGCCTGGAATCCCAGCACTCCAGAGGCTGAGGCCAGCAGGCAAGATGACCTAGTGGGTAAGAGTGCTTGTCATTAAGCCTGATGAACTGAAGTTCGATTCCCAGAACACACCAAGAGGAGGGAGAGAGCCAATACTCACAAATTGTTCTTTGACACCCAATAAGTAAATTGATAAATATGACGCTGAGGCAGGAGGCTCTCGAAGAGGTCAAGCCTGGCCTTAGCATAGCAAGTTTCAGGCCAGCCTGGGCTACACAGGGAAATTTTATCCATAAGAAGTTATGTATTTGTTAACTTGAGACAAGCCACAAGCTAACATCATCTGGGAAAGGGGACCCTCAACTGAGACAATGTCTTCATCAGGCCAGCCTATGGGTGGGTCTGTGGGATACTTTCTTGACTGACAATCGATGTGGGAGGGCTGGGCAGGTGGTCAGAAAGCAGCTGAGTAAACCATGGAGACCAAGCCAGTGAGCAGTGTTGGGGAGTATTATTCTAAGGTGCTTAACTC